TCTCAGTTCAGGATCCTATAGGTTCATTAATATCTGTCAGTACTGGCAGGGGTGCCCTACAGGGCACATATAGGCCACATGCTATTAAAATGCTGCTGACGTCAACCTTCCCAAGGCAGGGGAGGAAAAAAAAGTGTGTTACTTTTCACAACAAAAGCTTTCAGTGAGAACAATCAGAAGTTTCAGTGCTTCTCTGTAGAGCCACCAAAATTGTGATGTTGCTGGAATTAGTTTTTTGAACTTCCGCTTTAGTTTTTTGTTCTCCCCACAGAGAAACAAGATTTTATTTTTAAGCTGGAAGATTAGAAAATGTGTACTGAATTGAAACATACAGTTTAAAGGGTGGGAGGGATCTGTTTTGGCAGTGGGGGGGGAGGAAAAATCTTCCAGCTCTCATTTGTATTGCTATTGTACACATCATTCAAATTCTGAGGAGTTTAACTGCAAGATTTGGGTATGTAGAATCATTACTGCAGTAAAACATGTTCTTCTGCAGATGGGAAACTAAAAGCAATGGCTTCTAATTTAATGCAAGATAATAACTGTAACCAAAGAATAAAGAAGAAAAAAGTCTATCATAATACAGAATATTCAGCTGGAAAAATATTCTAACCTTCTCTGTGAGCTGTCACTAAAAACTGCAGTATGGCATAAGGATGCAGGGAAAATGTAGGAATTGCCGTACAGTTTAACCTCGTGCTCTGTTTAATCTCATGTTCATGTCTCAAAGGTTGTCTACCTTAACACAAAGGTCGGCTACCTTAACGTGCAATACAGCACAATAGGAATAGAGCTGAGGCTTCTCTCTCCTTTGTGTGTGGTTCAGGTGCTATACCTCGGATTAGATATAGTCTTGGTCCCTGGGCTGAATGTCTCCATTACACGTGTGAGTTATAGGTGTGTGTGGGTGTTTGTTTTGTTTTGGGGTGTTTTTGTTTTTTGTTTTTGTTTTTTTTTTTTAAGAGAAGTCTCTCTGGGATCTGTCTGCTTCCTGGCTGATGAGAGCCACAAACATGCTGAGTGGGACAGGGATACGTGCCTTAAACAGTCAGGCATTTTCTGATGTGTGAACTAGTGTGAAAACAAGAAAAGCTTCCCCCAGTCTCTTTGTGCCATCCATTTCCCCTTCCTTGCTTGAGCGGGGCAAGGGTCTGTTGGTCCCCAGCAGCACCTCTGGAAGTCTACCTTGCTTCACCCACTCTCCCCCAGGGATACCTGATCTGCTCTCCCTCTTGGGAAGGCACCATTACTCTGATCGTGTCTTTCCTGGCAGTGCATGCCCTCTTTGACCTTTCCTGTGCCTGAGCTTGTGGCTTTGTCTTCTGCCACAGCCCCCAAGAAATCACCTCCACACATTTCCTGGATTGGGGTTTCTGCCCTCACAGACATTGCCAGGATTGGTTTTACTTTGGCAAACGTGACACCCTGGAGCTGCAGGCAAAGAGCAGGAAAGGGAGCGTGCTTGTTTGGAGAGGTAGCAAAGGAGAACTGGCAGAACAGGTAGGCTGAAGAGCTGGCTTGCTGCCAGGAAATTGGGTGTAGAGGGAAGCCGGGTAGCACTTTAAGAGGAGTGGTTGTGGGCACAGGGGGAAACTTGGTAAAGATTAGGAAGGCTGGGTTGGAGCCAGCTGATCAAGCTCTGGAGGATGGAAAAGCCCTACTCTCCCTCAGGTAACACAAGACTATCTGCTTCCTCCTCCTCCTGTGTTTTCCGCTTTCAGGAGTGATGACATATCTGTCTTACACTTTTGGATGAAAGTGTGATGGGCTGTCAGTGCTTCTTGGCCCACGTTCCCTCTCAGCCTTCCCTCTTACAAAGCACAAGTGAAGGTGTGTAACTGTGTGGAAAAGCCAAGAATCTGAATGGGAGAGGTGCCTGTAGTGGAGCAAAAATGGGATAGCAAGAGCTGTTGGAACAAGAGAATTGTATTTGCTGGGTAGATCAGTGTGGCTCGTAGCTTAAAAGATGACAGTCAAGGCAGGGGATGAGAGAAGCTGTCCTGGCTTCGGCTGGGATAGAGTTAATTTTCTTCCTAGCAGCTGGTACAGTGCTGTGTTTTAGATTTAGGATGAGAACAATGATAACACGCCGATGTTTTAGTTGTTGCTGAGCAGTGCTTACACTAGTCAAGGACTTTTCAGCTTCCCACGCTCTACCGACTGAGCAGGCTGGAGGTGCACAAGAAGCTGGGAGGGGGCACAGCCAGGACAGCTGACCCAAACTGGCCAAAGGGACATTCCATACCATGTGCCGTCATGCTCAGTACATAAACTAGGGGAAAGCTGGCCGGGGGAGCTGCTGCTCAGGGACTGACTGGGCATCAGTCAGCGAGTGGTGAGCAATTGCATCATGCATCACTTGCTTTGTATATTATTATTATTATTATAATATTTCAATTATTAAACTGTTTTTATCTCAACCCACAAGTTTTCTCACTTTTACTCTTCCGACAGCTGTGTGGTGCTCAGTTGCCGCCTGAGGTTAAACCACGACAGAAGCAAAGTGGAATAATAAACCAGGAATAGCGTGAAGGGAGATTGTGATGCTACCGTGATCAGCACTTGGAGTTTTCTCCCAAGGATCATTGTGGTCTGCTGCAGATGAACACTGTTAGCAAAACAACCAGCATGGCCTAAGCAGATGGGCAGGTGGAACAACTGCAGATGTGTTCTTAGTAAATAGGAGGATTATTAAAATGTTTTGAAAGATTTCTTACTACCTTCTCTGTGTCTATGTCTGCACGCACGTAGATAAATGTGCTTCACACAAGTGCTGCTGGTGGAGGGAGAGACTTAAATTCCTTCGTGGTTCTGGAGAACTTCCATTGGTTTGACTGAAAATGCTGCCTGAGGAGCTACTGTGGTGTGGGTATATCTGGATTAATTAGCACTCCGAATACCTGACTATTAGCATTTATTTGGCTGGAAAAGCCAAACAAATTAGCCTTGGAGGAGGAAAGAGTTTGAGCAGTGTTTTTAGTTTGGATTGGCACGGAAGCTAATGTCTTTTCAGTGCAAATACAACCAAGATCACTCAAGCATTAGAGTCCTTAGTACTTCTTCCATTAATCTTTTTACTAACCAAAAGTACACAAATGGGAAAGAACCAGGATGCTTTTAGACACAAAGAGTAATAAAATAAGCCCCAGATGCACATGGGGCAGAGAAGTGCAGAGATGGTGAGGATGCAGCAGTGTTGATAAGAACTTGGTTGTTGGGATTCATGCACTTGGTCTAGGTTAACCTGAATAATTAGTTCTGGTTGCTGTTCTCCCAGATTTACTGTGTGATGCAAGATGTGTCACATATGATCAGATTGAAAGGTGTGCTCTTTGGTTCTTTAATGAGTAAGTTTGGGACTTACTCATTTTTGCCTGGGATACATGGCTTTCTTTTATTTTTTCCTTTTTTTTTTCCTTTGGCAAGCCAGTAATAGGTATGTGCTTCCATTTGTAAGGTTGTCTTGCTTGTAGAATAAGGTTGTCCTCAACAGTGATATATTGGAGGTTTACCCCAGTGGTTTTATCCTGTTTAAGTGGAGACTTAGTGTAGAAAGACCTTTTACTTTTCCTCATGTCAAGAGTTTCAGTACGTGATTTGTTTTGAGTTTAGATTGTAATAAATTAAAGGTCTCTGCAACTTGACAGAGGCATATGAAAAACAGCAATTTCTAGATGTATGCAAAAGTTAGGGTGGCATGCTGATACATATCTGGACTGCAGAATATATCTTGAAAAAAATGCATAATTTGTTTTGTCTTCAAATGCTGCTGTTGAGATAAGGACAGAAAAGTGGTGCGTCCTTGAAAGCAGCAGCTGTTGTATGAAGTCTATTGAATTAAATAGATTTCACTCTTTTGTGACAATATCTTGTGTAATATATAACAGACCTTCTAAAGCTCGAGGAATACTGCATCCCTGTTGACAGTTTAAATTAATCTTAGTATATTACAAAAATTAAAAATCATTATCTTGTCCTTGTGCTATGAAGCTTGTTACAAAATATATGGCTAGATGTAGTGTAAAGAAGCTTCAGTTAACTTTTCTGGATGTTAATCAGATAAGCTTTAAGATTTATGATAGAACTTGAAAATCTTCACTGTGTAAAGATGAGTCGTCTTTGGTGCTTCGGGTGGTACCTAAAGCAGTTGGTTCACATATGGCAAAAAGCAGCTCTGTGTATCAGCTTAGGAGACAGCTGGTTTTGCTATAGCCCCCCCGCCCCCCAGTCAATCTTGGTAACTTCAGATAAACAATGTCAAAGACCAAAGTTGTTAGCTTATGTATCTATTTGGAAGCTTGTTTATTTATTACTGAGAAGGTTTTGGAGCTTATTATTATGTAGTTTGTCCTCTCATGCAGAATCTGGGCTGGATCTTTGGCCTTCTGTGGGTCTGTGTATCTACACTGATTTAAACTGGCAGAAGGTTTTGATCTAGTGGTTTAAAGTGTGTTTTAGAGATGTGCCTGCTAACTTGATAGTTAAGATAACTAACCAGGGTTGAAAGCCTGTTCATGAAGAAGGCTGGGAATCGGAGAGAGACAGAGAAAATAACACTATGTAAACATGCTACTGAAAGCTGGATTATGATTCATGCAGCCAACAGGGGACAGAGCTAAAGCTGTATTGTTTATTTAAATTTTGTTATTTTTCTAATACTCAAATGTTTCATTTTAAAACTTTGACGTTCTTGTCAGGCAGAGTGTGGCAGGAGAGGAGGACTTTAACACCACCTTCACCTTGGTCTAGGCTACAGTGCCAATTGGAAAAGCCTCACAGGTGAGGCAGGGGCATATTTCCAGAATACAAGGGCACTTTATCCATGCAGCCTCACTAGGAAAGAAGTCTCAGAAAGGCTGTTCTAGCATTGTGGTCCTTGAGGAATGGAGCCAGCCCTTCCATAGTTGAGGGCTAATATTAGTTCAAGGTCCCATACTTGTCTCTAGATTTTACTTTGTCTGACATCATTATTCATTGCTTCTACTTACTGTTTGCAACAGGAAGGGGAAAATATTTTCTATCTGGCTGTGGAAGATATTGAAACAGACACAGAACTTCTGATTGGGTACTTGGACAGCGACATGGAAGAAGAGGAGGAGGAAGAAGAAGAAGTAACTGTTATTCAGGAAGATGAAGACAGTGGCAACAATAAAGAAGTGCAACCAGCTGGTGAAAAAGTTGCAGGTGAGCAATATGTAAAAATTAGGATAACTTGAGAGCTTAAAAGTAGTAACAAAGAAAAAAGAGAACACTAACTGTATAGGATTGGGAACTGGGGGCTCCCCAGGTTTAGTCTGAGCTCTTGTATGATTTTTATCTCTTTATTTTGGTTTGAGTTGAGGTTCTTTTCTTTGCCTAATAAGAAGCAGCCAGTCCTGTGAATTGCTGAGTGAATGAGTGAGCCTAGATTTCATGAGAAGTTATTGTTAATTTTTGAACTAAAGATGGAGTTAATTCCACTGGACATATAGTCTTATGAAAGCTAAGTTTTTCCTCTAAGAGGGGTAGTTTCCCTCTTACTTAGATGGGAGAGAAATAAACCTTTTCATAAAGCCGTTCAGCCAATCCTAAGGTAAGATGTCTAATAAAAGGTAGGTGACCTGAGCTGTCTGGTGAATTCTCAGCATCTTCACCAAAGTAGAGACAACCTGGATGACTAATTTAGGCTAACAGCCTAAGTCACACCCAACTTAATACTTTGCATCCATTTTCAATAATGCTGGTGGTAATCCACTCAAGATAGGCTGTCTATAATCCATTGAGAGACAATGTCTTTTGTTAATTTTGTGATGCCGTTTTGCATAATCTGTTTCTGGCAGGGAGTCTCTCTTAATATAACCAAAACATTCCCTGAAAACTATTCCTTTACTGTTTTTGCCTCCAATCATGCAGATCTCCTCACCTGTAAAGAGGACCATGCATGCCCAAACTGTGAATCCAGTTTTGCCAGCCAGGAGATTCTAGCTGAACATCTTCAGACCTTGCACCAAAAACCCAGTGAGGAAAAGGAATTTAAGTGCCGAAACTGTGGAAAGAAATTCCCTGTTAAACAAGCTCTACAAAGACAGTGAGTAGAAACAGGAGTGTTTGTTCAGGGATCATTTAAATTAATTTAATTCAATCATTTATTTCTCTTGGCTTAATCACAATTTAAGCTTTAATTTTTATGCGTATGTGTTTGTACCCTTACCCTTTACATTAGTCTTTTAATATGTTAATTTCTTGTATTTGATGGAGACTTCAATTTGAATTGCAAAAATGTCGCTAATTTTTTATGTTTTAAAATCATACACTGCCAACCAGATCAGAGCTGCTGTTTGGTGCAAAACCCTTGGTCTCCATCAGTTTTTGTCTTTTGTTGTTTATATATTTTTTTGCTTGCAATTAAATAGATATCTTACTTTTTATTATATATTTAATTACTGATAGTACATTAAATGCTTAAGTGATTATAGATAGTACATTTAATCTAACTCGTATTGGAAAGAAACAGACTCATATTGCATAGAATGTACTTAAGGCTGCTCTTGTAATAAATTGATCTTTCTTATAGCTGAATAATGTGAACACTCCTAGAACTGGCAGCTTTATATGAGCTCTGTGTTCTTTCATGGAAATAAATAAAATTACATAGCAGAGAAATATTTGGTGGAGGCAATTAAATATTTTTTCTTGAACTTAGACTTGTTCCTTCTAGTCTATAGTGGAAGTTGGATTTGTGCTGTATAGCTAGTTGAGTGAATTTTTACATCATGCATAGTAAGATTAATCTGTGTGAGGATACAGCAGTGTGATCCTGACTCTTGCTGTTTATGCATTTGATTGGTCCCACTAAATTCCAGGAGACTTCACGTATGAAAGAGATTCCTCACCTACTTAAAGATTTGTAGAGCTGTATATATGTTTTAAGCTACTGCAAGCCTGTGTGAGTTGTAGAATGTTCCCCTTAATTCTTTTTTTTAATTATTTTTTATTTTTCTTTAGTGTACTTCAGTGCACAGAGAATATCAGCCCAGGAGACTCTTCAAGAAGTTTTCAGTGCTCTGTTTGCAATACTTCCTTCAGCTCAGAATCGAGGTTTTGTGTCTGAGTTATGGACTGCTGTCATATCATTGCTGGCCTCCCTTTGCATGTTAGCTTTCAAGCTTGTTAGTTTATGTGAATCCTAACAGTGAAAGAAGTCAAATGCTTTCATTCCTATTTGCTGTAAGTAATGCATGAGGTGGCCTTGGAACTCTGGAGTGCAGCATGCGTTAAGCTCGGAGTACTTGCTGTGTGTCTGGTTTCTGTAGATACTGCTTTATGTGTGGTTGTTTTTTTTTTTTTTTTTTAAACTGGTTATCCCGTATAGTTATGAACAGCACAAGGAGGCATGCAGAGGGGATGCCAGATTCATATGCAAGGCGGATAGCTGCGGCAAGAGATTCAAGAGTAAGGATGCCCTGAAAAAACATAAAGAGAACGTTCACAGTGGTAAGAAAGAGTTTAATGTTTCTTCGGGAGGGGAAAAAAAAACCTCTACCATGTTCCTAGTCTTAAATTTGCAAATCAGAGTAAACCTTGTCTTTGGTTTCTTCTTTAATGGATTCATCTGTATCAAAAAGAAAATTAAGAAGTAACTAATTGCAAGAGTAACTATTCCTCCTCCCCCAGGGAGAAATTACTGTATACAAGATGAATCATTAGTCTACTGCAGAAAATGTAATAGGAATCTGGGGAAGTTTAAACGAGGCAAATAATAGATAAAGCAAAACATTTCAATAGTGAGGAAAATCAACCACTGGCACAAACTGCTACAGGAAGTGGCAAGTTCTTGATATTTTAGTATTTTTTAGGGCACAATGGGACGTCTTTCTGGAAGACGTGCTTCACAAACGATTAGGCTTGATGAGGGTATTGCATAAAATTCTATAGCCTCTTGTTGTGCAGGAAGCCAGACCAGACAATCCACTAGTCCTGTTAGGCCCTAGCATTTTTGTATCTGTGCACTGTGAATCAATAGTTTTCAATCAAACTTCACTCTGTTTTCATGAAAGGGCAAAATACTGCTCTCAGGTCCACAATGCAGATCTCAGTTCTGGCATCCTGCTCTCTCTGCATGTCCCCTCTCAATGTCAATGGAAGATCAGCAAGTGTGGGGACAGCGGAATACCAGAGTGCAAAGAAAACAGTCTTTAGTTGATGATGACAGCACTGAGATGCTTTGTAAGATTTTCATTACATGAAATCTCTTCTGCCAAACTCTTACAGCATACAGAAACCCTTCCATAACCATACTTATAAAAGATTATCTCCTTTTTTCAGTATCAGTAAGAATTTTTTCCATCCATGAGCATTATTATGTTTAGGCTTAGCTTTGGTCAGTTATGTAGTGGTATACAAATTCCACAATTCTCTTGAATGATCGCTCCAGACACGACTGAGAGCAGACGCCTGGAGGATATTTTTGCTCTGCCTGCACAATGAGCAGAGCTTTTATTTTACCACTTGGGAGTCATAGAAAGCACAACTGGTGTCAGTGCAGGAAGGAAAATGAACTACTACTGTTGAGGGACACTTCTAGAATTCCTTCCTGCTTTGCGTTACCTGGAGGCAAGAGAAAGCAGAAAGGATGGTTACATGTGTTGCCCGTTACGCAAAGCTATGAACAGATATTCACTATCACCTTTCTCTCTTCTGAAAAGGTCTCATTTTAATATTCTTGTAAGTTGAAGTACTAAGTGTATTACTGTATTCATGCGTATATCAGTGTGTATATATAAATACTTATCATAAGTTTTATAACAGCAAATGCATATGTGAGATTAAGTACTTTTTTATGCTACAAATTTAAGTATTGAACCAATCAATTGACAGGGTACATTGTAGTAAGAAGAATCAACATAATATGAATTCTTTAGGACAGCAAGAGCAGGAAAGATATAGGATGCTGAGAGTCTGAAAAACTGAGCTGGAAGCCATCTAATAAGTTCATTTATGATCCATACTTCCTCTGTGCTTGACTAAGCAGTACCTACCTCCTCTTTTGTTCTGTGTCTGTTCTTTCTAGTGTTCAGTGCAACATGAACATTTTTTACATAAGCTAGGAAATATCTTGCACGGGCATGTAATTAAACAAAGAATTAGGTTTGTGGTGGCTTTGTCTTGCAATAAAATAGCTTTGTGGGTTACTAAAATGAATTTCAAAAGGTAAATAATAGATAAACCCAATTAAATGCTCTGTCACTTTTTAAAGCAACTGTGAAAGGGGAAGGAAAATACATCTGGTAGCTGACCTGTAGCTTGTTTTGTAATTTACATTTTAGACGAGATTTGAATTCATGATCTGGTGCTAATACAATTTCCCTGTCTTGTTTAGTTAAAGACCATTAATGATATATTGTTTTGTATAGTAGAATGCTTAATGCTTTCTGAAGAAAAATGGGAAATGGTAGTTTTGACTTCAGTTTGGGATCTGTTTTGTCATTGCTGCACTAACTCCTGGATTGACTTCTAGAAGGAATCAACTGTTCAGTTATAGAGTGAGTTGTTCTTGGTTGTGAATTGTGCTCTTCATATTGGATTGGAGATGTGTGATAACATCTATTTGAAGGGTTTTTTCTTTATTGTTCTAGTTTTCTTGATTTACATTCCATCAGTAACTGGTTTGTTGGACACCCACAGAGAACTCCTGATATGAAACACTTTGAAGATGGGATAGAAATGTAAAAATCTTATGTCAGTCAAATGACCTGTGAAAAGTCACAGACTCAGTGGAAATATTTAGGTTCTTTCTTAGCACTTCCTTTTTAAGATGTTGGTGGTATTTTGTTTCTGTTCCAGGAAATTCTAGGAAGAAGCTGATGTGCTCCGTGTGCAATAAGAAATGTTCCTCAGCAACAAATCTCCAAGAGCATCGAAAGGTCAGTAAGATGAAGGCTAACCCACAGCAGGCTTTGACTTCACTAAGATGTGAGACTGTGGTGCTTAGGTCACTTGAAAGCTGCTGTAATGCAAACCTTTGGGTAATCTCTTTCATGGTTACAAACCCAATGAATTTTATTGTGGGTATTTATTTTTGTAATCACAATTGATTAAACCAAAAATCTTCCTGAACTTTTAATGCATCTTTTACCAAATACAAAGATGTTGGTGCTTCTATCATTTATGCATTCCAACATTAAGTCAAAGTTGCCTGCTGTTCTTCAGCATTCTTAAACGCTAAGCTGAATGTAAAAGTATGTTATGTAATGATAGGATTCATACAGACCATAAAATAGGTTCATGAGCCTTCAGTTTTTGTACAAAATGCAATCAATCTTTCTTATTGCTTTGTGACATACTAGTAAGGGTGTTATTTGTAATTTAGTTACGCAGTAGTAAAAGAATTTCTTCCTCAAAAACAAATTTTTAATGTCTTTTTGTTTATGCACGTAATCTTTTGTAACCAGAACAGGAGGGGTTAACGGTTTGAAAAGCATCTATTGGAAATAAGGGGGTTCATATAGAAATACAGATGGACTATGAATGTGAGATTCTGAATCCACTATACCCAAAGGAAGTCCCTGCAAGATTAATTTGATAAATCGCTAAACCCCAGGAGATTCTGTTTTTACAAAAAGCTACATTGTACTGTTTATCAGATTAAATGTAAGTCTTTAATAATGCCCTGGTTATAACCTGAATCCATTGAGGATATAGATTATATCAATTAAAATATGTTGTTGCAAAGGAAATGGTGGGGCCCCTCCTTTTTAATTTGTTTTTCTCTTTGCTTGTATTGCTATGCCCTGCATTTCTTGTCTAACAGGGCTATACTTTGTTACTCCTCAGACCAAATCGTGGTATGCCTTGCCACTTATAAGTACAATTTTTACACATCAGTGCACCTTATGGTGGCCCTGAAAATGCAAAATGCCATGGTTAGTGTGTCCATTTTGTTAGTGTGTCCATTTTATTAAAGTGTTTGGTTTTTTTCAGTAGTTGTAATTCTGTGCAGACACTATGACACACACTAACGAGCTTTTCAAGTAGCATTGATGGTAGGTCAGTTGAGCACTTATTCATCTTAAGAATCACCATGAAGATTTTGTGCATAAAACTTTTTTATTTCCTTTTCTTGATTGGCTCCTCTTTTAAGACGCCCAGAAAAAAGATATTTCGGATTCACACACCTACATCAGATAGTGAAGGAGATTGCATGTAGGGCTCATGCCTTCTGTTTGTTTTAATTACTTTGCTTTTGTAGGAATTGGGGCGGGATCCATCACCAACATTGCCAAAAATGTTTAGACAGGCAATGAAAACAGTTAAGAAAATAATAGGTGAAACAGGGAGGAAAAGAGATTTCCACCACCCCCACCCCCCCCCATTTCCTGTCAATGTAAAGACAGTAGAGAATAGGAAGGTAAAGTATAGGAGATAACAGAAAATAAGCCCAAACAACAGAAAGAGAGAAATCTGACAAACACAGAGAAGGAATGTAAAGAGGGTGGCTATATGGGAGATTGAGATCTGTTTACGCTCTGAAGATATGGTCATTCAGATCTGTAGCTTTCATGTCATCTTTGATTTAAACCCATTTTTACCTTTGTGTGTCTTGCGGATTGCTTGTGTCTTACATGTCTAAAGATAAGCCCTTTCTTAGCCATGCACAATTAAACTTTGCTGTCATTATCTTCTGTCCCTTAGTCTTTCCAGCCTGTTGCTTGTGTCATGCTAATTTTTGGTGGCACGGCTTTTTTTTTTTTTTTTTTTATCTCAATAAATTCAAGGAAATGTAGGGCTGGAAGAGACCTCAAGAGGTTTTCTAGCCCATTATGTTTTGCAGAGGGGGAGTAAGCATGTACCTAAATCATCCTAGATATGCGCTGTCTTATCTCCTGAAAAGTTCCACTAAAGAAAATTCTACCACCTCTATAGATGTCTTTGTATTCTGACTTTCAGCTTTAGTGCCATCAACTTTTTTGAATGTGTTCGTTAGTCTAGTGTTTGTTTTTTCTGATGTCCTACTTAAATCTTCTTCTTTACTGCAAATTGAGTTAATTGCTCTTTGTCTTATCTGAGAGAATGCCAAGAAAAATTCACCACTGTCTTCTTTGTAACAATTAGCATATTGCAAAGTTGTTATGAACTCCATTTGCAATTCCTAGGCTGTACAAACACAGTTATCTCAACCTTTCTTCATGCATCTGTTTTTCCAAACTACTTTTTCTCTTAATAAGCCCTTTCTTCCTGTGGATTCTCTCTTTTTCACATATATACTTCTTGAAGTCAGCTGCCCAAACAAGAAGAGCAGTGATGCGTAGTTGAGCCCTTGGTAGTGCCAAGTATAGTGGAATGATTGTCCCGAGTTTATTAATACAGAGAATATGTCTATTAATACATCTCAGAATGACAGTGCTTTCTAACAGCAGCATCAATCTCGTTATTCATAGTTTGTTTGGAATTCATTAATGTTTTCTGTAGTGGTGCTATGTAAACTGTTGGTCATCATGTAGCATTTGTGCATTTGATTTCTACTTCCTAAGTATTGCATGTTTTGGAGCTTCATTCAGAGTGTGGAAATCATTTTGGATTCTGATCTTGTCTTCCTTAGTGATTACAGTCCTACCCAGAATAATCTCATCCACAATTTTTATTTTCTATTTCATTTCCAAAACTGCTTACCGTAATACAACCCTCCTCCTGTGTGATGCCTACAAAACTTTAACAACAGTTATGATGTTGATCCACTGATACTATTGCTTTTTGTGGCGTGCAGTATCTTTTTGTTTTCTATTCTGCCTGTATCCACCTGTTCTCTTTTGTCTTATCCTCCAATTGTAAAGTGACATCCTTCTATCTGACGTTTATAGTAGTCCATGATTTGGGCTGCGAAGTGATATGGTAGTCTAAAAAAAATAAATTCCCAGCAAACACAACTGAGGAAATGCTCTACAAGAGCTTACAGAAGACTGGGTAATAGAATGAAAAAGTTTGTTGTAAAATCTCCTTTCTGCAGGTTTGTGATGTCTACTGCCAGAGCAAATGAAACACCATCTGAATTATATGCTGATACTACGTTCTGAAGTTTAAGTAAAATGCAAAATTTGGTCGTTCAACAATGATAATAGTGAGCAAGCAAGCGAGGGGAGCGTTGTCTTCATTGATGCAGATTCTTGCTAAAGGGTTCCTTTTGTACCTTTGAATGTAGGTGTCTCATGTTTTGGATTTGAATTGCTCACAGGAACTTAAACATGAGCATATACACGTGAATAGCACAGGCTGCCAGGCCTCTCCCGTGAGGCTCTACTGCTCTGTAAGTGGAAAGGGAAGAAAATTTCAAACAAATCCCAGCATTGCTGGTTTCTTTTCCCAGGATGACGGTGCTACATTTTCATTACTTGTAGGTAGACTGGGGGGGCTATGTCTCTCTCTGGCTGTACAGCTGTGGGGTGAGCTTCTGACTCTTGTAGGCCGGTGTTTTCAATGGTAAAGTAACTAATTCCCCTGTTAAAGATGATGATTAAGGACACCTTTGAGAATAAGGCAGTAAAGCTTTTTTTTATTTTGGAAAAGGTCAGAAAACAAATGCGTGTATGAAACGCAGGATTGTGCTTCACTGGTAAGACTAGTTTGTGCTGTTGCCCTTCTGGATTTCTTAGCAGATTTCTTATATGAATCTGTAAGATTCCATTAAGAGGCATGCTGTAGCACAGTCTGCTGGAGAGAAGATGACAGAACCAAGAAGGATCCTACTCATCATTTGTTCTAAGAGATTGAGAGTTTTATTGTTTATGAAAAATCCTTGATTCTTTCTTAACTTTCTTTGTTGTAGAACTGGAATTCCTGCAAAATTATAGTGAGGAGAGTCACTCTTAAATATCATCTGTGATTCCACCCCACCCCCCCCCCCCCCCCCCCCTTCTCCCCCCCCCCCCCCCCCCCCCCCCCCCCGCCTTTTTTCCCCCCCCAGTTCCAAGTGTCTCTATGTTGGGTTTTTTCGTGCCCTTTTTGTTCAACACTGGGCAGTGTTTTGTTCTGCTGTGCAACCTTTATTTTTCACAATCACTATGAAAGCCATAGAAAGGTAGAGAAAACCAAATTTTGAACACCACTTTAAAATTGCCAATAACATTTAATAATTTCAATCAGATCCAATATTCTCATATCCTTGCTCTGTCAAAGCACTGCCTTCCAACAGACAGTCTCATCCAGTTCTTGGAGTGGTAGACTGAAATTCAGTTTAGTTTTTGGAAAAGCTGATCATGGGTTACTTGTATCTTCAAAGTTTTAGCTCAGTTTCACCCCCAAAACTCTTTGAATGACCTTTTGCTTTTTAATAGACCTCATGAAAACTTTAAGATCATCAGTCCTGTAAGATCGTCAGTCCTGTAAGTGAAGGAGTACATTTATCTGAGCATATATTAATCTTGTTCAGAAGCTTGCTGTTTTGTATAGTACTTAGCAAGTTGTTTTCTGACGGTGTAGCTCTTCAAATGCCTATGAAACAATCGTAAGTATGTTCTGACTTTTTAATGTAACAGAGGCTTATGTTGATAGCTGTTACAGCCCCCTAATGAGACTAATTTTGTTATAGGAATAAATCATTGCATGAGCATTTGTCTGTGGTATTATAGGCTGTATACTCATAGAGCATGTTACTTGACAGGTTTTCTTAAAATGAAAATCCTTTTGAATATCATTATTCATAAAAATACTTGCTATATTTTATTACTGTTGTTTTACCATGTAATTGTGCACTTTTCTAAAGAACTGATTAAAGAGTGCCAGCTATAGAATATATGCTTGATAGCTACAGCTATTTAATGCACGTGCACACAAGTCTGTGTCTGATTCTTTTCTAAAGAATTGATTAAAGAGTATCAGCTACAGAATATATATTTGGTGGCTGTAGCTTTTTAATGCACATGCATGGAAGTCTGTTTTGACGCAAATTTATTCAATGAGACTGTTTATTAAACAACGCTCATAAGTTGAAATCAGACATTTGTATAGTGTTAAAGCGCAGTCTGGGTTCTGATTAAATATTCTGTTTAAGAATACCTTACAAGTTATTTCAAATAATTGTGTTGGGGGGGATTCTGATAGCGCTTGGGTGCAGAATTATGTGAACTTCAGTCAACAATCTAAGTAAAAATTTAGATCTTTTGGGAAGGGATAGACTAGTAGATTGTGTGTGCATGTAAGAGAAATTAATCTGAAATGCAGCTGGGTAAACAGAGTATTTAGAATGAGTGGTCTTCATTTGAGCTTACCACCTGATTCTGTGCGAGCATTTCGTTAAGCATCACTGTCCAAAGCATGCAAGTTTGCAGAGATTGTAGGAAATGGCATAACCGCTTCTTAGTTTATTAAAACATTTAAATTGCTCTAAAGTTAGTTTGTGAGTAGCAGCATAAAAACATGGTGAGGCAGAATACTTATGGAGAATCTCTTTTTGGTGGTTTTTTGTTTGTTTGTTTTAAGTGGAAGTCTTAGTTAAGCTTCTTTACTGTGCTGTCTGCAAATGTTTTTCATTAGAGTATTTGTGTTGAACCATTGATAATTGTTATTTTTAGCTGCTAGATTCTCCTACAGAAAGTCTATAGAGTTCTCCAGAAAAGCTGTATGAAATGTGATCTCTGCCCGGAAGTTTTGCTGTCTAAGGCTGCAGTTCCAAAAAGCTGAAATGTATGTTCAGTTGCACTGTAACTAGGTTGAGGGGAGGCTGCCAATGGCAAATGTAATACAGAGCGGAAGGTGAACGGTAATCTTGACGCGTGGAGAACTATCTGTGTCTTGTGATCTTCGGGAACAATAAATAACACAGGATTTTTTTTTTTTTTTAATTGAGTATCAGAAGTTGTAGCTCTCAACTGCCTCTTCTATTTTTCCAACATTTAGTCCTGGATAACGTTATGTGCTGTGATGTTGAAAGTCCTGCTAATGCTTACTGCATTTACGGTTTAAGAGACGCTACTGCCCCTCCACTGTCTTGCCTCTAAAAGCTTTTAAGAGAAACAATCCTGAAAGAGTTGATAGTACTTGTTTTTTAAAATTCTTAACAGCAGTTATGAAGTAGTTGCTGTGTTATTTTTACTTAAGTCTTATTGACTAGAAGGAAATGTTCTGAAAAGGTATTCTGCATCTGTTTTTTTTAATGCTTTCATAATAATGATATTTTAAATGGATCTGATATTGCAAATTTGCATAACCTGTGTTTCTAAATAGAGTTTTAGTGATAATTTTTTGTTTGCAATTGTGAATGTTTATTTTTTGAGAGATACTGCTGTTTACCAAGGGACTAGCAAGGGGGAAATCGCAGAATATTCATGAGTATTAGTATAGCTACTGACTAAGAAATAGTTATGGTCTGTTAGAGAATTTCTGTATATGTAAGATGTGTGATCTTGTTTGAGACACATATTTAATTATCATTAAACACTCATTTTGCAGGTCCATGAGATCTTTGAGTGTCAGGAATGTGACAAGAAATTTATTTCTGCTAACCAGCTAAAACGCCATATGATAACTCATTCAGGTAACGTGCAAAAATAATGCAAACCTATATATGTGTGTATATGTATTTAACGTACATTGAATTTTACCTGAATTAGTTTCTTATAGAAGGCTTGATGAATTCTGTGTTGTCCTGAGCTTTTCAAGCAAATCTCAGGTTCCAAGGAAACCATCTAAGCTATTCTTCCTAAGCCTTTCAAAAATCCAAGTGTAATGCTATAGTCGTCTTCCTATTGCTGCTTTGTCAAGCTATTTTTTCATGCTAGCTGGGGTAGATGATGTCAGTTAGCTGGGATGGGGCAAAAGGTTGCTACTTGGCTTATAGAGGAGGTGAAGAACTGGTGGTTGAAATTTCGTGTTGAAGAGAAGAGGATGTGAGCTGGGGTATGCTGTCAGACAGAGATCTGTGGTAAGAAGGGAAACATTCATTCATGTGTGTATATGTGTGTGTGTGTGTGTATATACACACACATATATATATAAGTGGACTCATGTGCACATAGTTTCCAGTCAGAGGAAAGCAGCTCATACTCCACAGCATTTCATAGACCACACACAAATATTTCATTGTGCCTGTCCTCTGCCAGAACAGGTCGCTGTGAGTGGGGAGTGGCCTGTCCGTAGGTTTGGCAGTATGACACAAATTGGCTCTGCCAGGATTTCTGATCACTGCAATCTAGTGTTTCTGTATCTTTCACCAGTGATTAGAAACATCAACCAACACAATGGAAACACAAACATTGTTCTGTCAAATACATTAGCATTTAAAAATATGCAGGTTTTTACAGCTGCACAGGCTTATAATTGAACTATTTTCTTGGTATCAGTCCGCACCAAAAGCTCATTTCTTGTAAAATAATCTGTATCTTAGAGGCTCCTAGCTTTCTTTTGACACTTTTGGATGAGCATTAATGTAGTTAAGTTGCAGTCACCAGTTGAAGCATAAAGGCTTTTTGCATAGGAACTCTTGGTTTTAGAAGCTAATATGTATATTGTTAATTAAGTTTTAAAACATTTAAACTGTCATGCCCTCTTTCACATTTGTAATCTGGAAACAGAGTTTTCCTCTTTGAAGTCATTCTCTTTTGATTTAAGCTAATTAATCAGAATTTAGTATTAGCAATGATTATTGCAAAGAATGTGCCAATTTCTTGAGATACACCATGGCTCATCTTTTGTGAAGTGACTTAACTGTCTAACATAAAGGGCATTAGATGTCTTTCTAATTGGTTTAATCTTAATTGGGTTGACTTAATTGCAAAAATCTCTCTGAGGAGATGACTGTCTCTGCCTTTCATCTTCTCCCCCTGTATAAACAGGAGATTAAATGTCCCCCACTCATTTTCTGCAGAAAAACGCCCCTACACCTGCGAGGTTTGCAATAAGTCCTTCAAACGACTTGATCAAGTGACTGCACACAAAATAATACACAGTGAAGATAAACCTTATAAATGCAAGCTTTGTGGAAAGGGATTTGCCCACAGAAATGTTTACAAGAATCACAAGAAGGTAAAGCACTCTGCTGTTGTTGTTTACAGGTCTGCCAGCCTCAGATTTGCAGATTTTTTTTCTTTTAAGTGGTTCATCATTAAGCTCTGGCATGCTTATAAACATGGGATTAAAGTATTGGAGAATGTATTTTTTAGTGTTCTTTGTTATATCCAAAATCTCAAAATACTAAATGAATTCTAGTAAAAAAAAAAGTGAAATAAGCAGAAGGAAATCATAGTTGCTTGGTTAAAAGCATCAAATAAATCCCCATTTTGACTCTTCTGGTTTTTTTTTTTTGTGTTTTTGTTTTTTGGGTTTTTTAATATTAGGTTATCAAGTTCAAAATGTAACTGATCTAAAATGTCTTCAAATTTTTTGCTTTTTAAAAAAAATACCATATTTGAATAAAACTAAGTGTAGTCCTGTTGCAGTCATTGTTGGACTTAGCAGCAGATGCTTTCAAACTATACTGGATTTGCACTGGGTAGTGTTCACACATTAAAACAACATCAGAAGAAATGTTACCTGAAAAATAGGCTCATGAAGGGATGCTCTGCTTCTGTTGATTCAAGCTCAAGTCTGCTTGGCCTAATTTCTATAATGCCTGTCATTATTTTTAACCTGGAGTTATATTTTTAATGGCAAGGCTATATTCATGACTGCTGTTTCAGAATTACAAGACTGTAAAAAAGAAAGACGGGGGGAAAAAAAATTACCTGTCTGATTTTGTGTCCAGTATTTGGAAGCCTTTGCTCTTTTTTCTTTTTTTTCTTTACATTTTTTAAATACTACCCCTTTCTTTCCCCCTTTTGATGAAACTGATATACCCATACTTACAAGTCTTTCGCAGTTTGGCTCATGTTATATGCCATCTGGGAATTTGGCACAGGATCTTTGCACCATCTCTTGCACTTTCAGCCATAAATCATGTAAGAGTAATAATAATGCCTCCTGTAGGATGAAATGGTGATGGCTGTCTAAAACAGAAAGCATGCAGAAACCTGCTGAAGGACAAGATTAGCTCCCATATATGCTGTGATTGCATCTTATGTTTTAGACTTTATTAAGGAAATGGGGCAGAAATCTCACAAATTGGATATATTCTAAGTAAAATGTATAAAATACTATCTGGAAAGATACTTCCATGTCTTAAATGAATACTTTTTACAGGTTTCCTTATGTTAATTTGTAGTTGATGACTGCTAGGGAGTTTGGGCTGAAAACGGACTTCAGGATTAAGTATGAATGAGTAAACACTTTGACCCAATTCTGTGTTTAAAGCAGCAGTGCCACTAGCATAAGCAAGGATTAGATGCTCCACTTAATGGGAAAAATATTAAAATTTAGACAGAATCAGTGAGTACCTACTGTTGACAGAATTCCTTAAAGCATGTTGGAATACTTACTTCCCAAACTTGTTTGCACATAGTACTGGCTGTAAATCAACCCTGTCCTATAATGAAAGAAACTTATTCCTGTGTTTACATAAAGTTTACCCAAACAGCTGTGAATATTCACCCATCCACATTTAGGTCTCTAATATCACTTGCCAAATGAAGAGATGAGCAGGAGACTGACATAGATGTCCTGAATTGCTTTCTTAAGCACGCCTCTATCCATTGAGTAAACAGTGTAAACAAGGAGAGGTAGTAGATAACGGAGGGGAGTATGGATGTGTATACACAAAAGCAGTTGTAAGGTGTAGGTCAAGGATATGGTGGTTTGGGATGCCAAAATAGTTTCAAGTGCCATGATTTTGGAAGGGCTGCACAGCTACTAGGGGAAGAGGATGATAGTTCTTTTGCTTGTTCACAAGAATGTCGATCCAGTAACAGTGGAAATTTAAACCTTTATTGTGTATCACACTTCTATGTATTTCTTCAGCTCGGGTTTTTAATGATTCTTTAGATGTCTATTCCTTTAAGACGTCCTCCTAGGTTTCATTTTCTTTCGGAGGAAGAAAAGTTGGATTCTGAATAATTTCACAGTGCTTTCTTGAGTTCCAGGGTGCGGTTACTGTGCTAGTAGCAGGGAGCTTAGAAACCTGCAGTAGGAATGATGGGTATAGTAGTTAAAAACGCTTAAATCGCCAGCACTTAACAGAAAAGATGCTTTCAAGTTTGATAGCAACATGCTTGGAAAAACTCTGGGTTTTACAGCAGAGCTACATACTTTTTATTTATAATAAGGAACAGGATACATATACATTTTGTGCCTTTGAATTCTTGTATTGTGTTTTAGATGGAAGCTTGTTGCTGTTGTTTCTGTGATTCCTTTATAGGGGTTATTTAATCTGATTTTGTGTTGGAAGTATCAGAATGAAAATGGCTCCCACAATATGTGCTTTTAAATGTTTTTCAGATGTGGGTGAATGCTGGGTCATTTCAAAGGTGCAGAAGCAGATTACTTCCTCACATTTCACGGGATTTCACTGGGAGATAGACAGTGGAGTTGCTAAGAGTATATCTGCTCTGTTCAGTGGAGCATTGTGATGTGAACCCGAACTTAGCACTCATTATGCCCTTACAGCTACAGGTCTGAGAGGCAGGAACTGTTAGTCTTCCCGTGGTACCTCTCTGATGTGCTGCTTCTGCATACAAGTACTACACTGCTCTGTGTTAGGTGCACGTGCAAGCTTGCTTTGAGATGTCAGCACTGGGAAGTGTTATGCCATGTGGAACTAGCTCAGATGTCTTTTGAAAAAGCTCAGATTATGTGACTAAGTGATCATATGAAGAATATGGTTCCATTTTTGTGAGAAGGGAGGAGAATAGTATCTGAAATTAAGAGGCAAATGTCATATTGGATTGTGCTACAGGTAAAAGTAGTCACCTTTCATCCAGGTTAGATTGGATGAAGGTGCATGTTCTGTGCCATACAATGCAGATTACTTCCATGCAGGAGAAAGTGAAGTTTTTGTTCCATCTGCTCCTTTGTTGCTACGTATGGAGGATGAGTTCAGAGAATAAAATATGAGGATATGACAGTGAACAGAAATAGGTCAGCAGACGCAGGATTTTAAAGGGTTTATGGTTAATCCAGGGTTATTTGGTCCTGAGGAGCATAATGAATTGAAACAACTATATTCCCTCAGTTTCTCTGTTGGGAATAAGTAGCCTTGGCTGGATTTAAGCCTCCACAAATGCTGTGGTAGGAAAGGCTGCCATGAAATACTCCATAAGAGCCCATCCTCAGTTGCTTTGATTGTATGGCTGTCCCCTGCTCTGACTGAATGGAAGCCATCTCTGATCTGGAACCTATTAGTAGGACAAAAAAGGACAGTATTAGAACTAATATGCTTGTTTGGGGGGATACCTCTCCTCATTAAGATTTCCATGGCTTTTTGTAATAGACCTAGCTTGTTTCTGGACCGTTCACAAAAGAGGCGGGTGATCTGTGTACCCTTGCACGTGGGTATGCCTAGTTAGATTTTTTTTTTTTTTGTAGCGCAGTTAAGATGTGCAGATGAATACTTGTATTTTGATCAAAATACTAGGAGAACTGTCAAGGAGACGCTAATAAGGAATTCTGTACAAATCACTGTGCTCTTCAGAACTATCACTCAAGTGGTGAGTGTTCTAAAACAGGGCATTTTTTAAAATAAACAACATGAATTTTGCGCTCGTGAAAGGTGCCAGATTGACAGCCCTAGAGACTGAACCCTTCTATTTATCCACAGAACAGGTACAGCACAGACAGCAGCACTGCGAGCTTCCCCACAGTGTCTCGTCAATATGTCTCAACCCTGTTCTGGAGGAACCACCTATTGAGGTGAGAAGGTAGTTCAGTCTCTTCATGACCTGTCAATCCTTGGCCTGACTGCTGAGACTGCCAAGCAGGGTGTCAACTAATGCTAACTGTGAGGTAAACCTGTAGAAGCTGGACTTGAAACATTCAGCAGATTTTATGTAACGTGTGATACATTCCACACATTTGATGGTGCTCCAGTTGCCTTTTTGCTTTAAGTGACATAGGCTGAGGTCAAGGAATTGACTTTGAATCCGAAGCCTCTGTATACCATTGCAAGTACTCTAATGTTTTGGTACTGTTGTGTATGTAAGAGGACATTTGTGTTAAAATCAGTCTAGGTTCAAGGCCCTCAGTCTACATCTAAATAATCATGCTGACTCCCCACAGTCCCTCTTTTCTCCGTAGTTTAAGGGATAGCTATAAATGTCGTATGGTATGAATAGCAGAAATAGATTATATAAATGTGTACTATGCTAATATTTACCCTTAGTCTACAAAATTAACTCATTTACCTAATTTTGTGCATATTATAAAACACTTACTGTCCATCCCCTTTTCCTCTTGGCACTGCAGCTTCTACTGAAGGTCCTTGTGAGCTAAGACAATGTTTAGACACTGATGCTTTAAAAACTTGCTTTCCTTTGCAAAAATAGTAGGAAATTGGGTAGATAATAAATTGTATGGATTAATTTGCTATCTACAGTGGGACAGCACTTAATAACACTAGGAAACAGGGAAAGTGCTTTGAAATTTACAAAAGTAGAATGAAGCTGGATGTTTCCTACGTTCCAGAAAAGAAACCTGCTTCAGCAACTCTGCAGTTTCAGAGATTCATCCAAGCTTAGCCTTTTATTTTATTTATGGCTTTGAGGCTGTTTCTCAGTTACAATGACTTTTTCTACAGCAAACAAAATCTCAGTACTGGTGCTTCTATGGGGTTTTTTTTTGTTTGTTTGTTTGTTTTTCTTTTAATACAAGAAGCTGAAACAAGGATATGTACAACTAGTCTCATGATTTGAGAAATTTTCTTTACCAAATTTTAGATACTATCTTGAGATAATCAGATCAGTTTTACCTTCAAACTTAACTGAAAAAAAGGGGTTTGTGTATATGTGTTCAATTTTAAAGCATTTATTCATATTGGTAAGTACTTAAGGCCAATGTTAGTACCGATGAAGCAATGCAACTGAGTTTATAGGTTTTTTTCCTGGTTATTCTATATTTTTATTTCTGTTTACATGCACACCTCATGTAACACTTCTGAGGACTGGGAAGGTACATTTGTTAGGTAGCTGCTATGCTGACTTTCAGGATTCTGGATAATGGCAGAATGATTGTTTTAATTCTTCATCCTCTGATGTTTCAAATTGCTATGATATCCCCTCCTGAATCCAGTCTAGAAAATTAGCTATAATTACTGTAATGACAGCTAATTGATTTCCCTGAGCCTTTCCTCTGACATGTTGTCTTTCATCTGCAGACCCATTCTGAAGAGAGACCATTCCAGTGTGAGGAATGCAAAGCCTTGTTCCGAACGCCATTCTCTCTACAAAGACATCTGTTAATCCATAACAGTAAGTGCTAAGTCAGAGAGGAAAAAGAACTTCCTCAGTTCTCGCATTTGACTGAGAAAAACAGACATATGGCACCTTGCTCCAATATGCAACTTGCTATGTTAAATTAGTATTAAGATTCAACTTTAATCCCAGGGAGTTAGAAAATTCAGAGCCAAATTCAAACCTTGTCTTTAAATGCACTTAAATGCAAATCCAAATATGCTGTAGAAAATCTAGCAATGATTTGAGGTCTAATGACAAGAGATTTCTTTCTGCGTTAAGTGTGATAGTGTTACCTCCATTTTAAGAAAGGAGAAATGGAAGCAAAGATAACTTCGTGGCTTACTCAGCTTTTGTAGGTAATCCAGTTTAGAGCTTGAAACTGAGATTCTCTCTCCAGTGCCAGTCCAGGCTAATGTTTCCTGCCTCTGGCATAGAACTAGCAGCGCAGAGGAATGTTGTGGCCATCTTCCCTCATGAGTAACTTGTTCTTGGCATTCTGTACTGTTTTTTAACTGACTGTTTAAAGGTTTATTTTTTGGTGGAATTTTCTCCGTCTTTAATATTTACAGAGCCCTAGACTACAATTCAACCATGTGAATGTCAGCAATTTAGATTTTAGAAAATATTAATGGCCTAAAATCCTTGTAGCTTAGAAGATGGTGCTTTGATTTGGGTAATATTTACATTGGTATAATTAAAAAAACTACAAACCTTTTCTTTTTTTTAATCCGGTATAACAGTGTTTCTGTTAGATGAATTATTAGACTGGTGTGTTTAGTTTGTTCTTCTACAATTATCTTTCAAAGCTTCTGCAATTTTACAAAGCATTGAATTCTGTAAAATCTTTTTCCAATGTTAAATGTTAAAAATGATGGGGGGGGGGAGTTAAAAACCTGTGTATTCTAATGAACCAAGTATTTGCAGGATATCCGAAAGCAGTAATTCACAGTATGCAGAATTGTAGGCAAAGGTCTCTCTAAAAACATATACTTTGATTTTTTTTTTTTTTCAAGAGGATGGGCGCTCAGGAAATTTGAGGTCTTTGAGTTAGGCTTGTGATTTGTGGCATGGGGTG